CACCTGGCTAATTTTTTTTTTTTTTTTTGTATTTTAGTAGCAATGGGGTTTCACTGTGTTAGCCAGGATAGTCTCTATCTCCTGACCTCGTGATCTGCCCGCCTCGGACTCTCAAAGTGCTGGGATTACAGGTGTGAGCCACTGCACCTGGCCAACGGATGTTGGCTGTTTTGGAGATGCTGGGGAACAAACTCTTTTTTTTTTGAGACGGAGTTTCACTCTTGTTGCCCAGGCTGGAGTGCAATGGCATGATCTTGGCTCACTGCAACCTCCATCACCTGGGTTCAAGTGATTCTCCAGCCTCAGCCTCCCGAGTAGCTGGGATTACAGGCATGCACCACCACGCCCAGCTAATTTTGTATTTTTAGTAGAGACAGGGTTTCACCATGTTGGCCAGGCTGGTCTGGAACTCCTGACCTCAGGTGATCCGCCTGCCTCGGCCTCCCAGAGTGCTGGGATTATAGGCGTGAGCCACGGTGCACTGGCTGAAAAGTAATTTCTCTTTCCAGATGTATTACACTGCATCCTCTGCTTTGGTTTTGTAGAATTACTTTTTTTTTTTTTAAATTCAGATTTTACTAATTTTCCTGCTAGTGTCTTTTTTCTTTTCCAGGCTCCAGACCAGAATACCACATTACATTTAGTCATCAAAAACTAGGGTTAAAAAATGTACTTATAGCAATAATACATGCATATGATTAAAAAATCATAAAGCAGTCCTGAAGGGTATAAAAGTCTCCCTTTCCAACCCTTGTCCAGTATGACTTTATGCAAGATATGTGACACACGCTAAGTCAATACCACATCCCACAGAGAGTCAGAAAACTTCTACAGAAGAGTTTCATTGTATGGTTAGAAAACCAAGTGAGTTATTTGTTCATTTAGTTAGAAATAACTATTAATACATGAGGTTTAAGTCAAATGGCAATGTTAAAGAAACTTGTAGTATCAGGTCAGGAGATCGAGACCATCCTGGCTAACGTGGTGAAACCCTGTCTGTAGTAAAAAATACAAAAAATTAGATAGGCGTGGTGGTGGGCACCTGTAGTCCCAGCTACTCGGGAGGCTGAGGCAGGAGAACGGCGTGAACCCCGGAGGCAGAGCTTGCAGTGAGCTGAGATTGTGCCACTGCACTCCAGCCTGGGTGACAGAGCAAGACTCCATCTCAAAAAAAAAAAAAAAAGAAAAAGAAACTTGTAGTATCATAATCTTTTAACTGATTCCAACCCTGACTTTCCACTGTATCCTTGTGGAGGTTGTTTTTTAGACATATATAAGCACATTCCATAAGAACTTCATTTAGAGCAAAAGGAAGAGAGAATGGGAGAGGCTGAAATCTTATTTCACTTATACAAGATTATGATCTAACACAAACTCCCAGGAAAACATTCATAAGAGAATAATGCCTGTTTAGTCAGTTTGGAGGATTATCAAACCACAAAGTGAAAGCTGGAATTTCTTTTTTCTTTTTTTTTCTTTTGAGACGGAGTCTTGTTCCATTGCCCAGGATGGAGTGCCGTGGCACAAGTCTCGGCTCACTGCAACCTTTGCCTCCCAGGTTCAAGTGATCCTCCTGCCTCAGCCTCCCAAGTAGTTGGGATTATACGTGTGTGCCACAATGTCTGGCTAATTTTTGTATTTTTTTGTAGAGACAGGTTTTCACCATGTTGACTAGGCTGGTCTCAAACTCCTGACCTCAGGTGATTCGGCCACGTCGGCTTCCCAAAGTGCTGGGATTACAGGTGCAAACCACTGAGCCTGGCCTGAATGCTGGGATTTCTTCTCATGAGTTTAGATTGCTTTACCTATATGTTTATGCTTCACTAAACTACTGCCTGCTTCTGTGATGAGCAGGCACTTCATTTGTCTCCGCAGGTCCATGTTCCTGGCTATGACAAAACAGGCAGGCTCTGGGTCCCCTCACAAGTGAGCAGATGGCGGCAGAGGACCGAGGCCTGGACGGAGGACCCAGGGGAAGGGAGTGGATTTCCACATGGTGGGCTGGAGGATTCCTATGACACCTAGCTCCTGGGCAGAGTTTCTGGGCTGCTCAAGCCATCTCTGGCTCTTAAGCTTCAGCTGGCAGCCAGCAGCCAGCAAACCTCCAGTGTCCTCCTGGGGCTGGCCTCCTGGTCCCTGTAGCTACATGCAGTAATGCATCCATCACTGCAGCCTGCAAATAGGAACCTGAGGAGCCCAATGTGCCTGAAAGATGACAACCCCCGAGACTGGAGTGGGGCCAGGCTTCATCGTCCTCCCGAGAGACAGAGGAGCTCCATGTAACCATGGGAGTCATGCCTCGAGGTCAGCTTGGCACACAGGCTCTAGAGTTATTTGGGCCTCTGTGTAGATTGTGGGCATATCTCCTGATCTGTGAAGTTGGAGTAGGAATAACACACACAAAGCCTGGCCTGGCACAGTGACACTTCACACATTTTTTTTGAAATAGTGAATGAATGAGCATAGAGAAATATTCCTGAACCCGTGTTCCCAGCATGAAAACCTCAATGAACTGGCAAAGGAATAAAAGAGAAAGAAAAGAAGGGGAAAGAAAGGAGAAGGGGTGGAAGGAAGATGGAAGAGCAGACGGTAAGCATATCAGCTGCCCAGAAGGGCCTCAGGGGCTGCACAGGACACAGTCCCTGCCAACCCCACCCCTTACCCCAGCCAGGAGAGAATCAAGCCCAAAATTCTTCTCTGCAGCAGCTCCAAGAATACTTTCTGCTTTGCCACGTGGAATGTCCACGCAGGATAGAAAGATCCAAGATCTTCTGAGACTGTCTATTGACCTTCCAGAATGCAGACAGGACGGGGATTGTGCCCCGAAAGATCCTCCCAAGAAAGATCTCCCTTTGAGTCCGCCACAGTGAGTGAATCCCGGTGAAATCGGCGCTGAGGTGCTGGGAGCAAGACCTGGGCCTCTATGCTCCTCTCTTGAGTTCTTGCACTGTGGTGGGGCAGTTCCCATAGTGGATCATGGGTTTCTCTTTCAGTAAGCGGAACTCGGTGACATCCAATTCGACAGACATTCACTAAGGGCCTAGCACCGCGCCTCACGCAGAATAGGTGTACAGAGTAGATACTTGATAAACTCAGAAAGGGAGACGTGGGTTCCTGCTTGCTAAGACTTTATAACCTACCAGGGGAAACAGAGAAACCATAACCATAGCACAAAGTAGAGAAAATGGGAGCTTTCAGAGTCCCAAGGGGCAGAGGAAAGAATGATGATTCAGAGCGCGTGGAAACTTCATGAGGTGGCTTTCTTCTCCTCCCATCCAATAGATGGGTCTTGTGCATTGTTGAGTATCTCCAGAAAGGCCAAACTGCTCATCTCCTCTGCTAATGGGGCACGTTGCCAACCCCGTCCTACCTAGGGTATCTTTATTGGTGGGCCCATGTTCATTCCGGCCAAACCCCCCTACTCCCCCCACCCATTTAATCAGGAGGAATGTACTGCCCCCTGGATCCGTTTATCTTCACCCCCCTCCCCGCTTGGATTCAGGATGTGTTAGGGAGGCTTGCAGAAGACAGGGGCCGGGCTGTTTGACCAACCTGGTACAGGGTCTAGCACATAGCAGGGGTGGTAAATAAATAGCTTTGATGAGAACAGACGGGACCAGGGCAAGGCACAAGGCCCGGGCCATGTAAGGCACAGGCCAAGCAAGGCCCTTCCGCTGTTCTTAGCTGGGATCTGACCCGGAGAAGAGAGTTCTGTCGCCTGCGGTCCGCGCACCCGGACCCCTCCGGGCTGCCCTCCCGGGCAAACCGTCCTTCGGGGATGTGGATTGCGCCGGCGGGGCGGGTGGGCGGGGAAGGACACGGAGGGGGCCGGGACCCAAGTTCACGCCTCCCTCCTGCATCCCGCGGCCGGCGGAAGCGATTATCCCCGGCGTCTGGCGGGGCCAGGGCGGGCTCGCACCCCGAGGAGACACGGGCCTCCCCGCGCCCACCTTTGATCGCGCCGCGCCGCGCCGCCTTCCCCGCCCCCGGCCCGGGAGGATATAAGTGGAGCCCGCGCCCCTCCGGGCGGCGCGCTGGGCTCCTGAGCGATGGCCGCAGCCGAGTCCAGTGAGCTCCAGTTCGCCGAGGGCGCCGCGTTCCCAGCGTACCAGGCTCCCCACCCCGGCGGGGCGCTCCTACCGCCCCCGAGTCCCGCCGCAGCCCTGCTCCCCGCACCACCCGCGGGCCCCGGCCCAGCGCCCTTCGCTAGCTTCCTCGGCCGGGATCCCGGGCCGGCCCCGCCGCCCCCAGCCAGCCTGGGCTCGCCTGCGGCCCCCAAAGGCGCGGCCGCCCCGTCCGCGTCGCAGCGCCGCAAGCGCACGTCTTTCAGCGCAGAGCAGCTGCAGCTGCTGGAGCTCGTCTTCCGCCGGACCCGGTACCCGGACATCCACCTGCGCGAGCGCCTGGCCGCGCTCACCCTGCTCCCCGAGTCGAGGATCCAGGTGAGGGCCCGCCGCGTTCGCAGGTGCGCCCTGGAGCGGAGGCGCTGCGGCGTCGAGGTCTGGACTCTGGGCTCCTGAGGCCACACCCCGGGACGTTGCAGGCAAGGTGCTTCCCCTGAGGCTCTGTGTCCTAGACTGAAATAGGGCGTGATATCGGCACCTGCTGCACAGGGTGATTGTGAGGCTTATGTGAAATAATTCAGGCCTGCAATGAACGATTTCTAACTCTCATTATTAAATATAACAAGGGCTCCTAGGAGATTAGCCGGTCCCTTGAAATGGCCAAAAAATAATTCCCAGCAGGAAGATAAGAAGTTTTATACTTTTTCCTTATCCAGGAAGAAGACACAGATGAGGGGCAGTTGGGGTTTTCCTCTGGCTTTGAGTGTGAGAATGGTAGCTGAGAGCGGGGAGGGCTGGCTTGCCAAGTTACCCCCCATGCTACTTTCTTGGCAAGTGTTACGTTTTGGGATTAGATTTGAAAGGATGTAGCGAATTGAGGTAAAGCGAGAAGCACCTGGAACTTGTCAGTTTGAAAAATCCAGTCCAAGGTGTGTTTATTTTTATTTATTAATTATTTATTTGAGACGGAGTTTCGCTCTTGTTGCCCAGGTCGCCCAGGTTGGAGTGCAATGGCGCGATCTTGGCTCACTGCAACCTCAGCCTCCCGGGCTCAAGCCATTCTCTTGCCTCAGCCTTCCGAGTAGCTGAGATTATAGGCGCCAGCCATCACGCCCAGCTAATTTTTGTATTTTTAGTAGAGACGTGGTTTCACCATGTTGGTCAGGCTGGTTTCGAATTCCTGACCTCAGGTGATCCACCCGCCTCAGCCTCCCAAAGTGCTGGGCCACCGCGCCTCGGCAGTGTTTATTATCTAAAGTAATCTAGATCAAAATCTTAGAGTTGGTAGGGAGAAGCCTGCCTTTTTGTCTGTCTGTAGCCCCTTGGTCGGTGTCCAAGCGCGGTTTTAAGTAGCAGCCCTCATTTAAACACCGGGAGAGTGGACTTGTTTTCTTTGCACCGCTGGCGGTCACACAGCTGTCAGTCTCAACAGCTAGCATGAGCAAAATACCTCCTTGATTAGTTTGACAAGGGAGTATAGACCTTCAAAAACCGATTTTCTTCATAATTTAATGCAGTTTTCTTCTAAGAATTCTAAGGGCTTCCATTTTTGTGACTCCATTTTTCATGAAAATTTCTCTAACTAAAGAACAGATAGAACTAGGCATTATTCCAATATTTGCATCTGGGAATGGGGAGGCAAGGAAAGCCAGGTGCTCTGAACTTCTAACCGTCAACCCAAGTGCTTTATGAAGACAAGACTCTGGAGAGGAAGCCAGGGGATGTTAAACTGGAACTTACTAGTATGAACTGTGAACATAATGTTAGCATAAAAAACTCCAACCAAAAGCAGCTTTTATTTTCTCCCCTCTTCCAGGTATGGTTCCAGAACAGACGTGCCAAGTCCCGGCGTCAGAGTGGGAAATCCTTCCAACCTTTGGCTAGGCCGGAGATTATCCTCAACCACTCTGCTCCTGGAACTGAAGCGAAATGTCTGAAGCCCCAGCTGCCTCTTGAGGTGGATGTGAACTGCCTGCCCGATCCAAACGGGGTTGGAGGGGGCATCTCTGACTCTAGCTCCCAAGGTCAGAATTTTGAAACCTGTTCCCCTCTCTCTGAAGACATTGGTTCAAAACTGGACTCATGGGAGGAACACATCTTTTCTGCCTTTGGTAACTTTTGAGGATTCTGGGAGAATTCGGGATAAGCTCTGAGGAGTCATGACTGATAGCCTGGGAGAGACACATCAGCATACTGTCCTTTCTGACTTCCATGCTAAGGACATGTGCTTGTTAACCTTGATGATGGTTTTGACAGCACCTCTCACATTTGAAAATACCCCGCGACTCTGTCAATGAAGTAATTTTAAGCCCACACTCCCACCCCAGAGTTCCGGCATTCATTTTTACCTGTGTTCTCTCCAAGCCTGCACATTCCACTTGTTCTGCATCGCTGTGCCTTCTTGCCAGGCCTGTTCTTCGTTTTTGGACTGGTTGTTCAGAACTCATTATTTTCTTCACAAGAATGCCTCAGCTTGACTCAGTTTCCCCTTGTGCTCGATAGCTGCCATTTTCTCCTGGTCCCTCCAAGGCTTATAATCTTAAACTCACTCTACCCCCCGTCTCTTCAACCCTCATCCTAGGCTTATTACTTTTTAAAATTGGGTCTGTTATCTTCACTTTCAACCATAGCTCCAATGACTCTGCATGCAGATTATTTTGACAGCCCCCCCCACTGCCTCTAGCTTCTCAACTACTTAAAAAAAAATTACCCTCTGTGGGCCAGGCATGGTGTCTCACTCCTGTAATCTCAGCACTTTGGGAGGCTGAGTGGGTGGATCACCTGAAGTCAGGAGTTCAAGACCAGCCTGGCCAATATGGCGAAACCCCATCTCTACTAAAAATACAAAAATTAGCTGGGCACGGTGGCGGGAGCCTGTAGTCCCAGCTACTCAGGAGGCTGAGGCAGGAGAATCACTTGAGCCTGGGAGGTGGAGGTTGCAGTGATCTAAGATCGTGCACGCCACTGCACTCCAGCCTGGGAAACAGAGGGACACTCTTAAAAAAAAAAAAAAAAAAATTACTCTATGGTTCTGTGGTAACCTCCAGTTGCTACCACATTATAAAAAGCTTTCAGTTATCCTCCCAGATAACTGATACCCTTAGCCTGCAGGACAGCTACGCAAATCTGAAGGTCAACTTTCCACAGCATACGTTTTGGTCTTAAGGTCACTCCTTTCAGTTTTGAACCAAATTCATACCTTTCACTTTCAAAACACTCGAGGACTCCCCGCCCGCTTTCTGAAGTCTGAAATTTTCTCTAATCCTGATTTGGCACCTGTTACTTCGATCACTCCAGTGTTACCCTTAGCACTTGTTACTGTATTTCCTATGCAACTTTTGTGGATTATTAAATGTCTTTCACAAATGTTTCAATGTAATTTCTATTTAAATGAATTCTTTTAGATAACTCTTAGTACAGTGCTTCACTCCACAATTGCTCAGTACATACTATGTGGCCATGAAAGACATTTCTAAAAGTTTCTGCAAATGTAGTTTTTAGCCAGTAATTGATATTATATCACCAGGCCACTGAGCTGAGAAATTTAATTTGGTTAAAAACATTTTTGCAGGCTGGGCGCAGTGGCTCACGCCTGTAATCCCAGCACTTTGGGAGGCCGAGGCAGGTGGATCACGAGGTCAGGAGATCGAGACCATCCTGGCTAGCTATGGTGAAACCCTGTCTCTATAAAAATACAAAAAACTAGCCGGGTGTGGTGGCGGGTGCCTGTAGTCCCAGCTACTTCGGAGGCTGAGGCAGGAAAATGGCGTGAACCCGGGAGGTGGAGCTTGCAGTGAGCCGAGATCACGCCACTGCACTCCAGCCTGGGCAACAGAGCGAGAATCCGTCTCAAAAAAACAAAAACATAAATATATTTTTGCTTGAATATTTAATAATATTTTATGAGTATTTGGTTTTAGGAGATTTCTCTTTGCAATTTGTAATTCTAAATGTATGTAAATAACCATTTCTAAGTCAGTCTAAGATCAATTAAAATATTTTGATATTTTGAGAGTTTTCGAACTCCTTTAGAGTTAAAGGAAATGGTCTGTGTTATGAGGTAACCATAGGTGAGGTTTCTTTGTAAACTGTGCTTTAAAGTAGGCTCATGGGATGCCACAGCTAGCGAGGGCCAGGACATCATGTCTTGATGGTTACTAGAAGAGCCCGAGATTATATATGCCAGATGCCCTAATTTTCAGAGATGTTATTCAAGTGGTTTGTACTTTTCTTTTTTCTTTTTTTGAGATGGAGTTTTGTTCTGTCACCAAGGCTGGAGTGTAGTGGCATAATCTTGGCTCACTGCAACCTCCGCCTCCTGGGTTCAAGCAATTCTCCCTGCCTCAGCCTCCCGAGTGGCTGGTATTACAGGCACCCGTCACCACGCCCAGCTACATTTTGTATTTTTAGTAGAGACAGTTTCACCATGTTGGACAGGCTGGTCTTGAACTCCTGACCTCAGGTGATCCGCCTGCCTCGGCCTCCCAAAGTGCTGGAATTAGGTGTGAGCCACCGTGCCTGGCCTGTACTTTTCAGGGTAGCAAATCTACCATTTAAAACAACCAAGAGCTGGGCGACAGAGCAAGACTGTGTCAAAAAACACCACCACATACAAAAATTAGCTAGGCGTGGTGGCACATGCCTATAATCCCAGCTACTCCGGAGGCTGAGACAGGAGAACTGCTTGAACCTGGGAGGTGGAGGTTGCAGTGAGCCAAGATCGCGCCACTGCACTCCAGCCCGGGCAACAAAGCAAGAATCCATCTCAAAAAACAAAAACAACAACAAAAATAACAAAAACCAACCAAGAGTTTCCAAGCACTTATAAGTTTAGGAAAAAAGCAAGCAACCAACCAGGAAGTTGGGCACAGGAGCTCATGCCTGTAATTCCAGCACTTTGGGAGGCTGAAGTGGGAGGCTGTCTGACCCCAGGAGTTTGAGACCAGTCTGGACAACATAGCAAGACCCTGTCTCAAAAAAAAAAAAAGCCAGGCACAGTGACTCACACTGTAATTCCAGGACTTTGGGAGGCCGAGGTGGGCAGATCACTTGAGGTCAGGAGTTCAAGACTAGCCTGGCCAACATGGTGAAACCTTGTCTCTACTAAAAATACAAAAATGAGCCGGGCGTGGTGGCAGGAGCCTGTAGTCCCAGCTACTCGGGAGACTGAGGCAGAAGAACTGCTTGAACCCAGGAGGCAGAGGTTGCAGTGAGCTGAGATTGGGTCACTGTACTCCAGCCTGGGTGACAGAGTGAGACTCTGTCTCAAAAAAAAAAAGTCGGGCATGGTGGCATGTGCCTGTGGTCCCAGCTACTCGAGAGGCTGATGTGGGAGGACTGCTTGAGTTCAGGAGTTCAAGGCTGTAGTGACCTATGAGCATGCCACTGCATTTGGCCTGAGTGACAGAGTGAGACCTTGTCCCTGCCATCCCCCCAACAAAAAGCAGCCAAGAGAACATAGTTGAGGCCTTAGCAGCAAAGTGTACTTCTCAATTCTTTGAAAACTGTTTGAAACCAAAAATGAGCTGATAAACATTAGCTATTAACATTATGCTCAGGGCCCATCCTGGAGGTGCTCAGGAGGTCTCACAATCACATTTAAACTTGTGACATGGTCAAATGACATACTACAAATACATTCACAAAACTGAAAGACATATAACACTTTAAATTATGGTCCACTAAGAATCGCACTTACGAAAAAATCTTGTAATTATTGTATTATTGCTTTTATATTCTTATGTTGTTTCCCCAGTGAACAACTGTAAAAATCTACAAATATGTAAATCCTGTTGTCACATTTTAAATTGTGGGATCCTCTACGAAGTAGCCTGCAGCTCTCTCAAACTTTCTAAGAGTCCCTAACTGTTAAATGTGTTACAGACATTATCTATTTTATTCTCACACCTACCATGTAAGACAGGGACTAATCTTCCTACTTTAAAGATCAAGAAACTGAATCTAAGTAGTGGTTCACAACTGTACAGCTTATAAATGGCATGGCCAGGACTCAAACTCAGCCCACCCATTAGTCTACCACCATACTCCTATATTGCACTGGTCTTGTTAGTCTGGACTAATGATACTGATGATAAAGTAATGTGATAGGTTTTATTTTATTTTTTATTTTTTTTTTGAGTCGGAGTCTCGCTCTGTCTCCCAGGCTGGAGTGCAGTGGCCAGATCACGGCTCACTGCAAGCTCCGCCTCCCAGGTTTACGCCATTCTCCTGCCTCAGCCTCCCAAGTAGCTGGGACTACAGGCGCCCGCCACCTCGCCCGGCTAGTTTTTTGTATTTTTTAGTGGAGACGGGGTTTCACCATGTTAGCCAGGATGGTCTCGATCTCCTGACCTCGTGATCCGCCCATCTCGGCCTCCCAAAGTGCTGGGATTACAGGCTTGAGCCACCGTGCCCGGCCCCAATGTGATAGGTTTAAAAGCAATCCCCAAGTCAGAATTTCTACATGCCAGTCATTACTGTCTCATCTTTCAAAGAAATCATCACAGAAGACCTCACTCTTATTCTGATGATATTAATGATGCTTAGACCTTTTTTAAACTCTCATTTGCCCACTCATTACACAAATATTTATTTGTTGCCCATGAACAGACACTTTACCAGGACCTGGAAATAAATGGTGAACAAAAACAGAAACAGTCCCTCCCCTCATGGAGCAGACGCCAGTAGGGAGACAAAAGACCTCCAGGAAATATTAATATTAAATTGCAAAAGTGACAAGTGCTGGAAGGAGAGAGATATGATCTGGAGACATTATAATAGATGTGTTGTGGTCAAGGAAATCTTCCTTGAACAAGTGATGCTGAAGGTGAGATCTAGAAAATGATAAAGAGTTACCAAGGAAAGGAGAGGGAACGTAGGTACTGCATGTGCCAAGACCCTGTGAAGTAGTGAGCAGATAAAGAAGTTGGGGAGGGAGGCAGATCATGTATGACTTTATAGGTCTTGTAAAAGAGTTTTGAATTTGTCCTGAAAGCCAAATGAAGATTTTAAAAACATTTATAGACAGAGGGATAACATGATTAATTCCGCATTTTAAGATGATCCCTCTGGCTGCATTTGAACAGGGCTGAGTAGACGCTGGGAGATGTTAGAAGACAACTGCAGTGTTCCAGGTCACTGACGATGGCAGCTGGGCTGCAAGTAGTGGTGGTAATGAAGATGGAGAGAGGTGCATGGATTCAAAAATGCTAATGGGCAAATCTTTTTGTAGATTCTCAGTGGTTATGAGTGAATGTGACTTTTGGAACTAGCTTAAAGTAACTCAGAACCAAATCTATATTAAAAAAAGTCATGTATGTGCTTGCATATTTGCTCAATCTGGCTTTGACAGCTTTCTTTAGAGCTCCAGAAGTGTGAGGCAGTGGCATATCATTCAAATCAATGTATGGCTGACCCAACATGACTACTTTGAAATACAGATTTCTTCCTCCCTAAGCAGAAATAAAATTCAACTGTATTCTTCAGCACAGTCCCTGCTGTCAACACATGAAGGCACTGAAAGACAAACAGTGCTCAATTAAATATGTGTAAAATGAGGTACTATTTAAGTGTGACAAGTAAGCCTTAAGAAATAGAGGCCGGGTGTGGTGGCTCATGCCTGTAATCCCAGCACTTTGGGAGGCTGAGGTGGGTGGAGCACTTGAAGTCGGGAGTCCGAGACCAGCCTGACCAATACGGTGAAACTCTGTTTCTACTAAAAATACAAAAATTAGCTAGGCATGGCGGCGCGTGCCTGTAATCCTAGCTACTCAGAAGGCTGAGGCAGGAGAATCCCTTGAACCCGGGAGCTGGTGGTTGTGGTGAGCCGAGATTGCACCACTGCACTCTAGCCTGGGTGACAGAGAAAAAAAAAAAATAATGTAAAAGAAAAAATGCACAAAATACTTACCCAATTCTAGGCAGAATATATTACAATCAACCTTTCACTAGGTCTATACCAGGCCAAATAACTTACCTGCTTAATACCATACCACTGGATGGTATGGCAATAAATAAAATCCATATCACTGGATGGTATGGTAATAAATAAAATCCA